TTCCTTACTTTGTAGTTGGAATCAGAATATTGCTATCATACTCAGGTTTATATTGTATTTGTGTATATTTTACCCAAATTTCAGCTCTAAGTTTCTTGTTGCTGTAATATTGATGCTTAAATGCTATTGCCTGACTCTTTTCATCGCTGGTTGTGTTATATCAGGACAATCCTTCAGAGAAGGATGAAAATCAAGGCACTTTAGTTGTATTTAACCTTGATTCATCTGTTTCAAATGATGAACTTCATCAGGTTTTTGGTGCCTATGGAGAAATCAAGGAGGTGAATTTGGGGTTAATTTTGTTCCCTTTCTAATTTATATAAGTTGAATAGGCGAATGATTCATTCTTGTTCGTGGACCACAGATACGTGAAACACCACACAGAGGTCAACACAAATTCATTGAGTTTTATGATGTTAGATCTGCTGAGGCTGCTCTTCATGCATTGAACAGGAGTGATATTGCTGGAAAGCAGATTAAGGTTGAGCCTAGTTATCCTGGGAGTTCAAGAAAATGGTAGGGTCCAAGCTTCTTGACTCTTCTTTTACATTTTGCAAGTGCTTTCTCACTTTGTTAAGTCATTGCTATCAAAGGTAGATGGTCAAGACCAGAGAATTTTTATTTTTATCAATTTTGGTGGCAGATAAATGGTTACTTATATATGTATTTTCAAACTTCCTCTCATTTTTCGCTTGCAGTTTGGTGCAACAGCTTCCTTCAGAGCAGCAAGATGAATGCTGCCCTTATGAGCGACCACGTAGTCCCTCTAATAACACAACTGCGGCATTTTCTGGTATGCTTGTTGTCACCCAGATTTCCCAATTATTATATGTGTATTCAAGAGCAAACTTTGTATCTCTGTTCTCATCCAAGGAATTTCAATGAGTGCAGTTGGGCCTAACTCATCAAATAATAAGGATAATGGAGCTAGTTTGGGGGTGAACTCTGCTATTCAAGCCCCTTTTTTGGAATCAACAATTAATCATGGAATCTCTTCCAGCATGTCGAACAGTGTAACCTCCATGGTTAGAGTGGGATCAATTGGCAATCAATCTGTCATTACTGAGTCAGGTCACCTGCAAGGTCAACTCAAATCTGATGTCCAGGGGGCACTGACCTTTCATCCTCATTCACTGCCAGAATATCAGAATGGTTTAAGTCGAGGTGTTCACTCCAATTCTTCGGGCCCAATGGCTGCAAGCATTTATTCCAAACCACTGGAAATAATTGATAATAGGCCATTGTCCAGAATTAGCTCAAGTGGGCACTCATTTGAATTTAGGAAAGCTGGTAAGGATGGTGAATTAGCAGGTGCTGTTGCCTTCATTTTTTATTTATTTCTTGCATATAGATAACAGGTAATCCTTTAGTTGGCTAATGATAAACTGAGTTTTCCAAACTGCCTTGAGCATGCTTTGTTTGGTATGATATTTAATTTTAATCAAGGACCTCTTATAAACAGTCAACCTCCCTTCCCTTCACCTATAGTTTTATCGATATTAATTTTGTGGAGTTAACACGGCTTTTTACAAGCTTGCAGCTATAAATAAAATTTTCCTATAGTTAAAACAGTATGAAATACAGAATCATTTTGTTTTCTTTTCATTTGAGTTAGTTGGTTCTTGCTGATTTTCTCAGGTTTTCCATCTCCTGGAAATGGGAGCCAGCGTCCTGGACATCATTATGCATGGAGTAACTCTTATCACCCCCAGCCTCCAGGCGTGATGTGGCCTAACTCACCTTCATTAGTTAATGGAATTTGTGCTGCTCACCCAACGGCACAGCTTCACGGGCTTCCTAGGGTACCATCTCATATGATGAACACTGGCCTACCCATAAATAACCACCATGTGGGATCAGCACCAACTGTTAATCCTTCTTTTTGGGACAGGCGGCATGCCTATGCAGGGGAATCTCCTGAGACTTCTACTTTTCATCCAGGTTCTCTTGGCTGTATGAGAGGTTCTAATAACTCGCCCCATTCTATGGAATTAATTTCTCATAATATCTTTCCTCATGTTGGTGGAAACTTTGTGGACCTATCGATATCTCAAAAAGATGTAGGACTCCAGTTACTTCACCCAAGGTCCACAGTGTATAATGCGAGAGGCCAAATGATTCCAATTATGAATTCAGTTGATTCTCCCCATGAACGTGCTAGAAGCCGGAGAAATGAGGGCAGTATGAATCAGGCTGACAAGAAGCAGTACGAACTTGATATTGACCGCATAATACAGGGGAAAGACAAGAGAACAACACTTATGATAAAGAACATTCCTAACAAGTACGTAGCTCCTGACTTTGATTATCAGATAATATGCTCATTATCATAGAGCTAACCATATCTTTGATATTAATCAATCAGGAACTAACTTGGTCTGTCTGAAGGGCAAATAAGTAAAATTTGGACTGTCAAATCGAAGTTCACTTGATAATTGTCACGAGAGAGATGTGCTAGAAGATAGTAGCAAAGCTGTAGACCTAGCAATTTTGCATACAATCTGCTAACACAAGACAGAGTTAACTGGATTTGAGTTTTTGTATAATCATGTTCATGTCATAATTGTCTCAACCTGTTTATGACACAAATATTTGTGTCTCATATGGGCTAACCCTCTAACTCGTATATGATCCATTTATACACGTTTAATTAATCATATTAATAAGTTAACTCACATAAATCAATATATTTAAACCGTTTAAACTTATTTATTGAATTGCTAATATTTAAAATACATAAAATAATTTATATTTTGTGTTTAAACAAGTTAATCGTGTCTAAATAGGTTTGGGTTAATTTCATGTCTAAAAAGGCTAATTGTGTTTAAACTTTTAATGTTAGGTCATGTAATCTGTATAATAAACATGTGTTTGTGTCTTAGATTTTAGTTGTCATGTTTGTGTCAACCCATATATCTCATATACTTTTATCTTTGCACGACACGATTATTGACTACCTAACACGAATTCCCGACCCTAGCTTTAAGACCTGAGCAATATTTGACAATTGCTCGTACTTTAATAGACTTAAAATATAAAGAAAAAACTCCATACAACCTGTAGAAAGAGGGGAACTCAAACATGCCCCAACACAAGTATGGTTGTTCCTGCATCTGCTCGCAAAAGGCACTTAAATTATGATTATCATCTCTATTCTCGACTTCTTAAGAATAATTTCTCTTACTAAAGAGATTGTAGATCTCCTTGTTGCAAGTAGAAGAATCCTCCTATTAATCTGTCATTCTCATGATTTTCTTCTTGGTGTTAGATGGTTCTGACTCCGTCAATTATAACTGCAGGTATACCTCAAAGATGCTTTTGGCTGCAATTGACGAGCGCCATCGAGGAACTTATGATTTCATTTATTTGCCAATTGATTTCAAGGCAAGTTTCTTTTTGTCTGAAATATTCATTTAATCTTGTGAATGAACGGTGCTGGTGCGGAAGGAAAATTTTTTTTCCAAGCTTAGGAGAATATTCGATAATGCTCAAAACGTATCATTTATTTCACCTTTATTTTGATGCAGAATAAATGCAATGTTGGATATGCATTTATCAACATGATTGATCCTAGCCAAATTATTCCCTTTTATCAGGTTTGTTCTGTGTAAAATTTCGGATCGATGGGGCCATCTATCACTCAAAATACAAAAATCCTATTAACACAAATTGCGACATGAAAGGCTAAAGCTAAAAAAATTGAATTGTGGCAGGCATTCAATGGAAAGAAGTGGGAGAAGTTCAACAGTGAGAAGGTGGCATCACTTGCTTATGCTCGTATACAAGGAAAAGCAGCCCTTATTGCACATTTTCAGAATTCGAGCCTGATGAATGAGGATAAGAGATGCCGACCTATACTCTTTAACACTGACGGCCCCAATGCAGGTGATCAGGTACCAAAGTTGCCTGAGAGGGCATAGAACTAGTTGTTGCAGCCTTCCACTAATTAGCCCGGCGGTAACTAATACCATTGTAGGCACCTTTGCTTGGGTTTGAACCCAAGTAACCCCTTTTTCCCTTCCCACTCCCCAAAAATATATTTCCCATGCTCAAAAGGATTCCTGCATCTCGAGATCTTCTTAAGCTGGGAAACCAGCTTATATGACGGCTCTAGGCACCTTGATTTGGAAAAACAAATACTTTTAGGTTCGTAGTAACATTGTAGAAAATAAAACTGACACAAGGCCCTTTTGCAGGTGCCATTCCCAATGGGGGTTAATGTTCGAACAAGACCTGGAAAAGCACCTTCCCCAAGCCATGAGGAGAACGATCATGGAAGCCCTTCAAAATTGGAAAATGAAGAGAATTCTTCTAATGGAGAATCTTGTTCTTCAAAGGATTGAGGCTAAGGAAGTCGATTATTATTGTGGGCAGTACCTTCTAGCATAGAGTATTGCAAAACTGCAGCCACCCAAAATCTTGGAACGGATATCTGTAAAGAGGGGAAAGAACAAAAAAAAAAAAAAACGTAAATGAATCTTAATGGGAAGGCCCTCGAAAGAACTAGAGAAAATTTGCTTAGATGAAACTTCAAGTGATTCTAAAATTTTCTTCGGGTTTACTTTTATTCTAGAGCAGGTTAGAAAAAGGAGCCTTATTAGTGGAGCTTCAAAATTTTGGCTGATATAAGAATCCATGAATTTTGAGATTGACTAACGATTGTCTGTATCTTTGTTTCACGAGAGAGGATACCTGTTCTTACAATATGATATTGTCACCCTCCTGTTTCTGTATTTTGTACCTTTGTATCATGGAAGCTTGTTCTATCAGTGTCCATTGTTCTTATCATTCTCTGCTGCCATTATTTTGAGTAAGTAGTAGAGAGGACATCTTGTCACTTTTTTAAGTTTTTAACCCCACGTTTCTGCCTTCATCACGCAATGGCCTTTTGCCATTTTGCCAAGATAAGCTACAGCACAGGTTAGGTTGATAATCACATTTCTAACTAAGCAAACCCTTAAAGCCAATCCCAGTCACCATGAACTTAAACAAGACCAAAGAAAAAAAATCAATGTTTAGCATTGCAGAATGAACTGTTCGTTTTGCACTGATGCAATTTCACATAGGTAACCTTGTGTTTATATCCCACTACACGGTAAAGAAGCACATAACCAGTTTAGAACCATGAGTTACAGCCGAATCACCAGTATGCATTTCCCCACACGCCATCCTGCAAGATCCATTTCCCACAAGGACCACTGATTAGGACATTGTCAACAACCTGCGATGCAAACAAACAAAACCTCTTTAGAATGTGAATGACAGCTAATGTCGGGGTAGCCTATAAAACACTGCCAGTGCTACAAAACTGTGTCAACAGGCTGCATCAAGCTGCAGTCTAAGGTATAAGCAGCTCCTCAAGTATTAGTTGCTGCTGTCAAAGATATCAGTGGCTCCCCAAATATTAGTTCAAGGCAGAACCACCCAGAAATACAGGCATAAATCACCATGTCCTCAAGCCAGCCAACCTTATGTCTCATAAGGACTAGGGTTTTAACTTTTAAGTAGACCTAGCTTCCTAGTGATCATCAACTGGATGTGTGGAACCACTCACCAGAAAATGCAAATGCATCATTTTGGATAGAGAATGTCATAGTGACCCGGACGATATAGTAAGGTAATAAAAGGACTGACAGGCTCAGTGCTACCACTTGTAGCATTTGAATGATCACCCGAAGTAGGAACAAAATCATGATGGTTTACACTGACACCACCATTGTCACAAGAGCTTCGATCAAGGTACACAACACGGATTGGCACACCCAATGCATCTGAAAGGGCAGTAATGTGCACATGATCACTCTCTTCACCCATTGGCTCCACTGATGATTTGCAAAACTACAAAACCGATTCTATGATGAGAGATAGAAATTTATAATCACAAGGCCCCAAGCCATATAAAGTTAGGGTTAACATTTCCAGCCAACTTACCACAATGCATATATGGGAAATTGGGAATCAATAAAGTATTAAATGTGATCATGTAAAGTAATATTGGTGTTATTGAAAAATATAGATGATCTGAACTGTACAACATTGTAAATATGAGCACAATACACAACAAGAAGAACCGTCACCATTGCATAAGGAAACAGTTGCTATATTACATTAGCATAACATGTTGAGCCCCTCAAAGACAACAGAAAATTGGCTTCTTTAAAAACATTCAGACAATATAAGGTTGGCCATTCAAAACCTCATTGGTTAGTAATGCCTGAAGGGATGGCAAATGCTTTTAAGCAAACAACAAAGTTTTATTATATTAAAACAAACCTGCTCAACTGTTGCATTCGTTAATCCCAAAATAAAAGGTTCGAAAAACTCTGAACGCTTTCGTATTTCACCAGAGGTAACAAACCTGAAAAACATTACAACTAACCAACCAAACTCGTTATGAGATGTACCAAGGAGAAAGACACATTAATACCTCAAAAGAGTTTGAACCCACTCACCATAGTCAGATATTGACTGATCTCGACTCCTTATTATTAACTCATCCTGACTGACAAATGGGAAAAACACATAGTTAAGCAGCTCAGACTCATTTAATTTTCAACTAATGTAGGCAACTAAAATAATCAAGCCACGCAGCGAGCAATTGATCATGGTAGTCAATACATGCTGAACCAAAGAAGAAAGAAAGCAACTCAAATTAAGGATAACATAATGGCTAAGAAACAACATGTAAGCACCTTATGGAATCTTCATTTCCTTGAAGTACGCTGTCCAGCTGCTCAAGGAATAACTGAATTTTTTCACATGGAATTACAAACACAAAATACAGGTGTCAGAGATTGGTAAACATGAGCAAGGTGCTTCATGAAGAAAACTGTTTTAACTATATATCAAAAATAAGTAATTTCAAAGGTACATAACATACCAGGCATCATTTTTTCTTAAAAAGTACTCATCAAATTACAAGAAAACAATCAACACAGGAAAACTAAGCCTTCCCTCCAGGCACAGGAGAAAAGATATAGCAACATAGAAAATCAAAAATATTTATTGTTACCCTTCCCTCAATGGACAGTAGAGCTAGGGTTTATTAAACAAGAAACCTACTGAGTTTTTGTCCTGAAGAAAGTATAAAAATGCAGGGATTAAACAAAAGCAGTAAAAAATCTAAAGAGAAATGTGTAAAATAACCGCAAAATCTCGAGTTAATAATTCATTATTGGAATAGTAAAGAAGACCCCTTTGTATGAAAATAGTAAAAAGGATCAAAACATCATGATGGCTAAATCTTCCTAATTTAATCTAACCCAAACATTTTTTAAGACAGAAGAACTGAAGAACACATTTAAGGCCAGCAAACCAGTGTTTCTGCATCCATATGGCCAACAACATGCACATAATAGGGGTATGAATCCCTACTGCATAAAAGTAACATCTCACAACTTTTTGGCACCTGGATGTTATGAGAAATGTCTTGAAGAAGCACTTATATTTCCCTTTTTCACCCATCCCACCTCTTCCTAGAGGAGGCTTCTAAGGGGAGAAGTAGTATAACAAAATTGTGAGGTGCTGAATTATGACTTGAAAAGTAACAGTCACTCTCAACGGTTGTTATACCCACAAAAAAAATTAACCTTGCATGAGCAAAAAATATTAAGGATGTTTACTTCAAGCATACACCTTAAAGCAATGTGTGCAAAAATCAAACCACCTAGCTCCAAAATATGTAAAATGGAATAAAAGAACTATTTGAGCTTAGGAAAGAAAAAGGAATGAATGAAATCAGAGGTTTACCGCAAAAAAGTCCTCAAATGTAAAGTCCGCATAACCTAAGCTCTGAAGTGTCTTTCTACATTCTTCAACATTGCCTTTGATACGATCAACCTCAGCACGATCTTGTGATTCCAAAACATACTCCTACTCAGCAATTTAAAATTTTATAACTTAGCACTGCTCGAGAAGACAATGTCCCTTCAACACGATGCTTGGGGATAAATTAGAAGAACAGAAATAAAAGACATCTATAAAATATATCATGACATACAAGGTATGAAAACATAAAACTGCGGAAAAAGCAGTTCCCATCTCCTCGAGTTCTTCTAATGGCAGCATATTGTTGACCAAGCACCTGCAAGGGTAACCACCAACAGCTCTTGTTTAGAAAGGATAAACAAGCAAAAAATTGTGAGCAACAAGAAGAAAAAAGAACAAACTGACTCACACACCCCGCAGCAAGATACCTTTATTTTCTCTAGCAAGATAGGGCTTCCTGATTCATATTCAGCTGCCAACATAGTGAGAGGTTCCTGCAGTTCCATCATAAGAAAGTTTCTTGGCCTCACATGTTACCAGTAAGTTTAGCAAAAAGAATGAAAGTTGTCCTTGCACCACAATGTTCATGCAAAGGCAAATTATGAAGCAGACGAGTACAGAAAGACTCAGTTGACTTTCAAATACTACACTAAGAGAATAAAGAAATATTTTTTTGGCCTGTACAATAAAATAAATGAACAACCACATAATATGAGACTTGTATCCTAGTTCTCTAAGCTTCCAAAACAGCCAATGTATCTGAGCCGCATAAAAAATATCTCAACATGAATGTATGTAGAAAATAGTGTCCATTCTATATTCGCATGCTAAAAATTATATGACAAGGAAACAACAATGAAGGAGTTGCATCAGAAATAAAGTGACAGCGTAAAGCAACTAGGACGCAACAAAAATTTAAAGCAACATAAGATAGTACACATGTGACCTGATGAAATTCATGAAAAATAAAAAGCAGACGCACTACTTTTGCTATAATCGAGAATAGCACACTGAGCGTTCAAAACAAAAAATCACCCAATATTTAAGGCAAATGCAACCATGTCTAATAGTCTCAAAGAATTATGTTGCTCTCACCTTGTCACCTACAAATGGAACTTTCTTGGCTTCCTCAGCATGAAAGGCAGATTGTTGCTGCATGATATCATCATCTGCAAATTTTGCCCAATCATCAAATTCAGATACAGGAATGGATACAGAGGACTCCTTTTCTCCATCAGCTACCACCCCTTCCTGATTCTGCATCTTTCCTTGAGACAAATACAAGTTCTTTCAGGTTTATCAATACCCTCAGCCTCCTGGCGTGATTTATTATGCACAATTCCTTGTAGAAATATGAATAACCATTCTGCTTCAAAAACAAAATTGCCCCAACCGAAATAAGGGTTAGTAGCCTTCAATTAGTGAAAACTTCACTGCATACTCATCTTCATATCTAGACACCAGCAATAGAGTCTACAAATCCTGCAAGGGGTTTTATATACTTGTCACATGTTCTTGTTTACAGTTATAAACTTGTCACATGATCTTGCCTATAGTTAAGCCTGTTTGTAGAGTCCTCAAATTCCACCACCACTCTACAACACATTATAACAGCCCATCACAAATAGTATGGTCAAACCCAGAAAGAGGAAATGGTAAAATTTGCCATAATCAACCATGCAATTTAAACCTCCATGCATGATGCATCAAACATTTCAGATTACCATGAAATTTTACCATATCTATATCAGCTAACTATCCGCAGCCCCTTTAAATGTGATTTTTTTCCCATTAGCCAGACTCATTAACACCTTCTCTTGACTCAAAGAATAAGATTTGGACTAAACTAAATCAATAAGCAACACTATTCCGAACAAAAGATCGTAATCAAAAGGAACCCTTTTATTCTTCAAACGGAAAATAAAGAGAAAGAAAGAAAAAAGAGGTCAGATTTAGAAGAGCGGAATGAGTGAAAAGAAAAAGTACGCTTACCAGAATTTGAGGAATTTGGAGTTGTTTTCGCAATTCTCAGATCGAATAGAAAGCGTTTCGAAAGGGATCTCCTGCCCACTTTTTTTTGTTTTCTTGAACACGAGGTAACAACAGTAAACAACACGCCTTTCTTCAGTTCAAGTTTCACCTGTTTACGACTCGTACTTTGGTGCAAAGCAGAGAAGACCAGAGAGTTAGGGAGCAGTTTCGATGTTCTTACTCCGCTTTTCTGAGGTTTTTACCCTGCAATCGTATGACGATGCAAGCTAACCAGAATTACTGAAAGATTTTAGTAGAAGCCCATTATTGCCGGCTCAAGCAATTGAGCAACCCAGTGGGCTAAGAAACCGCTCAAGCCCATCGTGAAACGTGGATCTTGTCTAACTCTACCGCTCTACTTCATCTGAGCAGTTACTTTGTTTTTCTCGTAAGATGCGAAAACAGATACTACTAATAGTAGATAACCACAGCCTGCTGCATATTTCTTCCCTACCCAGTTACCCTTTTAAAAGTTTTCCTCTTCAGCACTATCATCAGGTACTTCAATCCCAATCACCTGCTTTTCCTGCATTCTCCTGTCTCCTTTGGATTATTATGTTCCTTATTACTACATTCATTTCATGCTTATTTGTATGCCTTTTCTGAAGATGGGATCGATCCTACTCACAATGCTTGCTTTTGATTTGTTTTGTTTTTGGATGATTAATGCCATTGGTTTGATTTTTAATTATGCATTTCTTTATAGTGACAGAAAAGTATTTATTACCTTCTGAATATTAGCAAAATAAGCTCAAATAGATTGATTTCCGTTATGTATCTAGAATTTAGGTTATATTAGGTATGCAATGCTTCCTCTCCAAGTTAAATTCTGTTTGGTTCATGTGAGGAACATGACATCCGTGGAAAACGCTAGATATATTTGAATTCTGTGTGGGCTGAGATGATAGGATGGTTCGGATATTTGGCCCGGTGGAACCTGCTTTGTAAGCAGCAAAGCAAGACAAACGGAAGGTTTGCCAATTTTCGAGAGATTTCATTTTGAGAGTAGTAGGATCAGCCAAATATTGCAGGTTTTGGCTGATGGCAGGGGGGCCATGGACGCCACAAACATGTATATATAATATTTTATATTAAATAATTTAAGCTGGTGTCCTCAAACTCAAATATATTGGTTTTATTCAATTTTTTGGCTTCATAAGTCTGCTTTTTCACATGTGCAACTTAAGAGTGATTAAAATCACATGACTGTTTGTTTGTTGGACTTCACCTACCAATCATCAATCACAAGCTGGTATATTTAACAAAAGCCAAACTACTAACTAGCTCCCAAAGATATCAAGCCCAATGTTTCTCTACTTTTTTTTATTCGTAGATGAACTCATCTTTCCTACTTACAAATAAAAGTCAAAGATCTAAAATAATTGATAGTCATTTTAATTTAGCTTAGCTCCAAGACTTGTGATCTAAAAGCTTCCACTTCCTTTTTTTAGGTATTTTTTATTTGTCTGTTTTAATAGAAATTACATTGTTTAGCTATGTAATTAATTATTGAATGTGAGATAGTAAATGTATGCAAAAAGATTTAATAAAGTTCTACCATAAGTCATTGAAAGAATGTGGAAGTGCTACTACTTTACAAGTCATTTTTAAATTTATTGATTTGTTTTATATTCTTTAAAACTTTGAACGTTGTATAGTTACTTATAGTTTTAATTTTATAATTTGTACATTCTATTGTTACATAATATCAATTTATGTCATGAGTATTTTTTGTTTATTTCCGTTAGTTGTTTTAAGCTTAAAATTTTGTGAGTTTGACAGTATTTTCTAGAATTTTGCTTACATCTATATTTCTGTTTTCTTTTATATTAGTAAATATAATAGGGTTTATTTATGAAACAAAGTCTAGGTTTAGTATGGCCTCCCCAAGACTCAATGTCTAGTTCTTGCATTGGCTGATGGCTAGCTCTTCTATCACACCAGGCACAACTTTATTAACTATATAATAGTGGGAAGAGATATCATATAACTGAAAGATGGATGAATGTCAGGTTTATGAATTGATTGGTGTAATTTTGTGTTTGTCGTAAAGAATTTTATGGTTTTTGGAAGAGCACATTAGCATCAATAGCCTTTATTGATAATCACCTGCTAGAATTATTAATTGAAGGGTAATTTCATTTGCAAGTTCAAAATTTTCAGTGAGGAATTCCTTCACTTCAAATTTGAGGATTGAAAAAAAAAAGGAAGGCTTGAAAGGTTATTTTTCAAGAAGTACACAGCCCCCCTTTATCCTTTTTCCTCTGTTAAAATGTTCAAACAGGAGGAAGACATCACTCTCTTTCCCTTTCTTTCTTTTCACTTTGTTCCTGTGAAAGTATGAGGGCATGGAGTGTTTGTTAAACTTCAATAGCAAGGTACTGCAAGTTTGGCTTGCTGTTGCTGGCCAAAGTTTGTGAGAGAAGAAGAGATAGAAAAAAAAATGAAAAAGTGATTATTTGAGAAAGCAATAAAAGAAAAAAGGTTAGAAAAATGAAAACAAAAAATTGCTACCGTGGACGACTATAATGGTTGGTCAAGATATGCATTTTAGTTCGACATTTGGTCTTACGTTTAAGACCTTCATCTTCTATCAACCCATATAAGTGTTTGAGAAGGAAAATGCATGCTAGGGCTTTCTTGACCAATTGTTAGGAGGTGTTAATGGCATCAATGTTAAGTTTGGCTATTTGTGACGCATTCGATCTGGCTTGGGTTTGATTGTCAAATTTCTCAGTGTGATGGATGGTTTGGGTCTTAACAGTTGGTTCATGGCAAAGAGAAAAGGCAAGAAGTTTAAAAGTTAAAGGCCACCAAAAAATTACCCTACTGTGAGTAAGAAGATAAAGAAGAGATATATCAAGAACAAAAAGAAGAAACAAGACAAAAAAGCAACTTCCACTTCTAATAGTGGTTTTTCACCTAGGTCTGTACCAGACCTTGTGGTTGCTTCAAGTGCTACATTTACAACTTCCACCACTTTTGCTCTTCCCACTGCTAGCAATTTTGGTGTAGAAGAAAAAAGGAAAGTAAAAGAAAATGGTGAAACGATTTTTGGGTTTATATTTATGTGTAATGGAAAAACAAAGCCTGAATGCTATCGGAACTGTGTTGTTGGGCTACCTGCTCGAAAATTGGAAGTCGTGAAGAAAATAAAACCCGGAACCAAGCTTTTCTTATTTGACTTCAACTTGAATCTCCTCTACAAAATATATAAGGCATTATCTGAAGGAGAGTTGGACTTGGAACCAACTGCATTCAATGGGAAATTTCCTGCACAAGTACCAAGGATTTGTTTTAAATAAAAAATTCAAATATTTTAAGTTACTACGTTTCTCAAATGGATGGAATGTAGAATCTAGTAGCATTGTTTTTGTGAAAATGTGGACAAGCTTTTGTTGAAGCTTTGGCAATGTGTCTGGATTAAGGATGAGTCAATGGAAACAACGGTATGGGGCTCCTCTCTTTTTGTTTGGTAGTTTCAATAAAAGAAAGGGAGAGGGTTTTAAGTGAGCCAATTCCCTTAAAAGTGATTTAGATGCCTCTCCCCTGATGTAGTCAAAAGGTTTAAGGTAATTGGAACTCTACAATTAGGGCTAGAATAGGATTGATTGTGTTGGAACATTGGAAAGATAATTGGGTTTTTAAAAGAAACATCTTGAATAAATATTCAAAATAACAAAAGATGATAATAATAATATTCTATCTAAGATCACCTATTTATAATAGCTAAGATAAATCCAAATCAAATAGTAATCCTAATCTTAAATAAAGACTTAAAGTACTAAAATTCTAATAAAGATAGGAAAAAGAATTTCAAACTAAATAAAATAAAGAAAATAAAATCCTAAGCTAACAAAAATACTAAATAAAATAAAATTCTTGATGCACCTGCATCAGTCCCCTCGGGTTAGAAAAAAAACTCGATTCCAATGAGTAGGCCTTAATATACTTCTCATAGATGTTTGGATTCACTTGTTTCAACTTCTCTTCATTACTACCTTCAGGTTCAAAACTTTCAACAGATAAATACCCAGCAATTTTGCTGCTTGTGGGGCTTGGAGCTACCAACTGCTTAGTCTCTCCTTTAAGAGGATATAAAGTATACCTCTTGTTGTCCTTGTAGAAGGAATAGGTATTTGGCTTCGTCTTATGATCCATATCATGATCATACAACCAAGGTCTACCAACAAGAATATGACCAACATCCATTGGCACAACATTACATAAAGCCTCATCATCCAAGTTATCTCCTATAGTGAATTTCACCAAACATTAAGTAGTTACTGGTACCCCATGTCCTTTTTTTAGCTACCTAATCTTGTAAGGATAATGATGTTTGCTTGTAGGAAGCTTTAATTTGTTTATCGCCTCGTTTGAAATAATATTTTGCACGCTTCTTCCATCAATAACAAGATCAAGCACTTTACCTTCACAAACAACGTGTGTGCGAAAAAAACTTCGCCTCCTCCAATCTTCTTCTTCCTCATTTACTATTGTTGCCATCACACTTCGTACCACTAATGACTCACCTTGTGCAGGATACACATCAATTTTTTGTGTGTTCTCATCATATTTATCATAAATGGGTTTTAATTCCTCTCTAAATTCTGCCAAGCTCACTCTTCTTTGTGGACAAGCAAAAGAAGTGTGTCCCTTCTCCCCACAAGTAAAACATCGAGTATGGAAATTGCTGCCTCATTTATTTGTAGAAGAACTAGAATTGTTTTGTCCACCATAAGGCATTATACTCTTACCTTTATCGTTCCTTTCAATATTGGTTGCACCCCCATTAGTTTTATTAGTTGTGGTAGCTTCTCGATAATTTTGTGGGGATGTTTGGTAACCTTGTCTTGCTATAGAATCGTTTTGCCAATTGGTGTCATATAAGGGCTTTCCAGCACTATAGCGTAAAACTCGTTTTTTTGCTAATAGAGCATATTGACGAGCATCTTCAATGTTGTATAAACGAACTATTCCCATCTCATCTCTAATAGAATAATTCAAACCCGCAAGATAACGTAAAGTAATTTGTTCGTTACTCTCAGTTAACCTAACTCGAATTGATAGGTTATTGAACTCTATTGCATACTCCTCAATAGTCATGTTATTTTGCTTCAAACAATGAAACTTTTCGTATAATTCCATAGTATAATCAGCAGATAAAAATTGCTTTCATAATTTAT